ACTATACAAATGCTATTGTTATTCAGTTTTAATAATAACCACTCCCATAATGATGTAACTAGTTAAACACTAGGGAAGTACTTACCATGTGCAAGTTATTAAGGGAGGCCCCACAAAGAACAAAAACAACAACAGCAAACTAGCAGTCTCTAAGGGTATTACATTCAGGGAGTGAGTAGGCTGGGTATAATATGTGCACTGATAAGTAAATACAAGGTAGTAAAAGCCTAAACTCTTTAGGGATGGATTTCCACAGCCTCCATTGGCAAACCAAATCAGCCCCTTATCTACTCTGGTAGGATGATATAAGGTGCATTCTAGTGAAAAGAAATGAAATTCCTAAAAGGTAGGGTTCTTAAACTTTCTGTTTTTGGGGGTTTTTTTAAGAATAATCTCAGATCCTATCACAATTTTTCATAGATTCCATTTTCCAAAATTTAAATGCTTTTGTCGGTTCTACTTGTAATTCTGAGTTTTTTGTGCTTCACATAATAGTAACTTAAACTGGATGAAACAGGTCATAATAAAAATAGACAATTGTGGCAGCTTGAGTCTTTGCACACTCTGTTTCTAACTGTGCATTCCATATCATACTTATCCTCTTAATAGCAGTGCCACTTTATCTACTATACACTAGAGAGCCTCTTCTCCTGGATTTTCCCTTAGCAAGTTATTCCTCAATTTGAAATTCTATAGTTTGTCTTTCCACCCTAAGTATCCCACTTGGCACCTGTCCTAGTTGGGCTTTGTTTCTGACCAGTCCTTTAGCTTGTAGAGAACACTCTGAATTCTGATCCTATCCTAGTTGCTATGGCATTTCAATCTGAAAACTTACTGGCTCTCACTCTAGTTCTCATCATTTAAGTTACTGATGAAAGTATGTTCATGCTCTGTTGGGTCCTACAAGAATGGCAGGTGTTACATTCCTTAAGTTGATGTGCCAACTAATTGGTGACTGATGCTCCAGAGAGTCAATTGTGTATCCACCAAAACCATCTAACATATCTGCTTATTCTAACAAAAAATCCCAGAGAGATTTACAAATACTTATTCTTCAAGATCTAAAGAGATATTCAGCCTTTCTCACAGCAAGTAAGAAAACAAATTATGGGCTAGTACTTAGCAACTGGGCTACCAAAAAAAAAGTTAGCATTTCAATTTTACTTAATTAGGCCAATTTTTAAAAACAAAGAAATACCATTCTACATTCTGGGATTCTTAGAAAGCCCTGTGTAGGAGGAGACAAAGGATATGCATGGACTGTTTAAAAAAGCTTTTATAAGCCATCCTCAGTCATAGAAGCCTTTTTTTCCCCCACTAATGATCTCCTAGGTATGCTACATGGCTGGAAATCACGGAACATTACTATTTCTGAAGAATCAAAACAGCATTTGACCCAAAGGTCAACAGAATGATGGAGAGTGGGTGCAAGTAGATGAAAAAATATCATTAACATGTAAGACATCACCTAAAACACATCATCAAGGAAATGTTTGGAAAGAGAGGTGGTCTCAATATGAAGTGAGCCAAGGACTACACTGATCCCCTCAAGTATTAAAGGAAGCAGGGGAAGATCTCAGTATGGTGGGGCAATAATCTACAGGGGACTTGTGAAAAGGGATGGACAAGAAGTGCACAAGATGTGAGAGCATGAATGGTCTGCAATCTACATGAGTGAAGGGAGTACCCATATTGTGGTGTATAACTGAATTGAATATTTAAAGAATGCAAGCTAACTTGTCTACCGCCCTGTCATTGTTTGCTTCCATGAAGACAGTAAGTTTCAGAGTCAGGTTTCAGGTACTGAATCCTTAGTTTTATTGGCCACTAGGAAGAGAAAGCAATAAGAAAGAGAGAAAACTGGAACTGTAATTTAACACTGTAGAAATAAACCTAGCTTACTGATGTCTGAAAGAAAGGTCAGGGAGCTGGGCTCCAGCAGACTGTCAAAACACAGGAAGTTCCTTAGCTGAAGGGTATTAAGCAAACAGCAAATCTGGGGAGGTAAAAGCCCTAGGCACCACAAAGCCACAATCTCCATGCAGGAGATATTAATTGGCTTCAAGTGGAAGAGTTCAGGAACAAGGCCACTTCCTGATATTAGGAGAATGCAATAATTTTAACGCACTGGTATGGTGTCTACTTTTCAGCTTAGTAAAGTTATGCGTGTGCCTCATTTTAAAATCATTAATCCAGGCATTTATCCACCCTGATGAAGGGAAATGGTGGGATGAATTACACAAAAAAGTCTTCAGTGTAAATATAATTAATCCTTGGTTTGGGAATGAATGATATATTTTTTATAGCTGATTTACTCTCCCAAATCATGTATTTCTTAGGACAATATTAAATTGAATTTGCATGCCCTGATACTAACTATACTATAATCTTGTTTTTTGACCTACATTATAACTCCTTTAGCAGTGGGACGGTGTTTTGTACCATTTGGAATCACCTAGAACACCTAGCACAGTGCATTATACATATTAGGCACTTAATTAATGCTGGTAGATTAACTTTTTTTTTTAATTTTGGACTCAAACACCAGACCTCAAATAAGAATAGAAAAAAGAAAAAGAAGCATTTAATAAACTTAAATACTGAAACTAAATACCAAGTAAGAAAAGAAAAAAAAATGGGGTAGCTAGGTGGTATAGCAGATAGAGCTCTGGCCCTAGAGTCAGGAGGACCTGAGTTCAAATCTGGCCTCAGACACTTGACACTTACTAGCTGTGTGACCCTGGGCAAGTCACTTAACCCTGATTGCCTAAGCCAAAAAAAAAAAAAGAATTGACTCAAAAAGAAACAACAGAAGCAAGTTTGACTCCTAACCTCAACTCAATGAATGGATTCATCACTTAACCCCAACTGCCTCACCAAAAAAAAAAAAGAAAGAAAAGAAAAAAAAGCACGTCATGCATGCAGCAGAACATAAGAGAGGATTCAAACTATATAGCAAAAAATTTTCATTTCAGGAAAGCCTATATGATAAATATTGTATTGGGAGCTGTCCATCTTTTCTTTGCCTCCTTGAAAGTTTTCTTTTGTTCTCTGCTGTCTACTTTTTACTTTGTTCTTTTTTCCCCCTTCCCTTCCCCTCCCCAGCCCCACCACCAAGGGCTACAATTAAGTGTGGATATATTTACATACAGATATATACATACATGTATATACATATATACACATATACATACATACATACATAAGTACATATATAGACATGTATTTCCCTAACAAATTCTACACCTGGTCTTTGTTTTTATGTTTGTGCACATTAGATTAATTTTCTGATGGACTGATTGATGACATAGGAAGGTGGTTCAGAAATGTGTTGGATGGATAAGCCTGTGAGTAAAGTTTTCTATAGATAATTCCATCCATGGAAAAATATTTTTACCTTTATTATTACTATAGCATTTTAAAATTTGTAAGATGTTTTATGTATGTTATCTAGTCTAATTTGAGCTTGACCACAACCCTGTCAGAAAGATGCTATTTCTTATTTTCTCTATTTTACAAATGAAGAAACTGGGGCTGATAGAGGGTAAATGCCTTGCCCTGGGTCACACAGCTAATTAATCCAGAAACTCCTACCTTCTCAGTACCCACTGCTCCTGGATCTCTCCTCTTCCATTGATTGGAAAGGGGAAAAGGGAGAGGGTAGACAGTGGAGAGCTCTTCTCAGATCCTCTATTTAAGAAGGGTACCCAGGGCAGTCATCTCATCATTTCTCACATGGATTTCATCATGCTCTCTGGAATCTCATCATCCTGCAAGCTCTTATCAACCCATACCTCCTCAATTATGTCCCTCCCCCCTTTTTTGTACATAGCACTCAGTAAGAACCTTGCACATAGTAGGCATTCAACAAATGTTTATTGACTGATGGACTGCCTTACCCAGGGTGAATACAACCAAGTGAATGAGGATTCAGACTGAGGTCTTCCTGACTCCAGGTGGAGTATGTTAACCACTGTGCCTACATTTCTATGCCGCCATGGCTAAAAATAATAATCAAATAGTCTTTAATGGGTCAGTAATAAGAGTTATCTGATTTTTAAAAAATGTTGAAATGCTGGAAGAGGTGAAATCTTAAGCCCCTAGGCAGTAGCAGCATAAGCTTTAAAAAAATGTTGAAATGCTGGAAGAGGTGAAATCTTAAGCCCCTAGGCAGTAGCAGCATAAGCTTGAAGATGCAGCTCATTCTTAGGAAGGTAAATAGGTTTTGAGGGTGATCCTGGTCAATATGAATCAGTTACAGTCATGCTAGCTAGATACTAAGAAAAGCTTAGCAAAGAAAATGAGTCTGGGATAATTGACATACAGTTTCCAGGCTAATGGGAGGGGGACATGCCATTTTGGGGAGCTGACTCAAAGGGCCATTGTGTACCTGGTTTGGTGGCGTGAATGATCCAGTCAAAAACCAAAACCTTCTTACAAGCGGTTAACCACGGTGATCGGAGTGGGGAAGAGAAAAAAGTCTGGATTTGGCGAGATTAAAGAAGTCCATGAAAGAAAGAGTGTGTTGAAGGAATAAATGTATGTTTCAGGTCTGTTTTGATGTCTCATTAAAGGAAGCTGTTATTAATGAAAGTACTAAATACTATAATTTAATGTAGAATAAGCCTTACTTGCTTAAGACTCTTAGTTAGAATACCTAACATCTTCTGAAGCAAAGAAAAACAGGACTCTAAAAACAGGAGTATCCTTGAAGGGGATGCTTTTCCTGAGTGACCAGATGAAGGAGAAGGAGAAGGGCAACATATGCTATTAAATTTTCTGGATCTCTAAATCCCAAAGTCTGGCATCATAGCAACTCTACTACAGAATATTTGTGGAGAAATATGGTAAGGTAATGGCAATATCCAATTCTGCATTAATGGAAGTGATTGTGCAGGCTGCAAAATATAATTCCCTTAGCTTTTCTCAAGATACAAATAATTTGATATTTATCCTTATCCTTCTCTAATATAGAGAGTATAGTAAATCATCATACTTACTGGAATCTGGGCAGAATCCCCATTTTTCCTCCTTTTCATATCGGCTTGTTGTGGCACACCATAGCTGGCCATCTCTGCCTTCTCGGGTACATTCATAATGCCATTGGTCACCATACTGGAATGGAAACACACATGGCATTCCATGGGAATTTCCTTTCACTGTGTATAATTCTACAACAGAAAAAAACAAATTACAGAAGTGAGAAACAGTCAAGCAAGCATCCCCCGAATTTCCTTTTAAAAAAAAAAGTTGCATATTTATCCAGCCACACATATTTCCTGGTCCACAATAGCAGCTAATTTTTTTTCATTTTATTTACTTACTTTTATTTTTCAACATTCACTTTTAAAAGATTTTGATTTCTAAAAATTTCCCCCTCCTTCCCTAGCCCCTCCTCCCCAAGACGGCATGCAATTTTTGATATAAGCTACACATGTACAATTATATTAAACATATTTCCACATTAGTCATGTTGTAGCAGCTAATTTTTATCTGGCATTTTGCTAATTGCTGTCAGACACATTGTCTCATTTGATAATCATAGTAACCCTATGAAGTCATTAATGCAAGTACTATTATCTTCATTTTCTAGAAGAGGAAACTGAAATTCAGAGAGGTCATAGTATCATAAGATCATAGATTTAGAGCTGGAAGGGACTTTGGAAACCATTCAATCTACCTCCCTCAGATGAAGACGAAGAAATGGAGGCTGAGAAAAGACAAGTGACTTCTCCAAGGTAAGCCAGCAAGTGGTGGAACCAGGATTGAAATTCATGTGTCCAGACTCCCAAGTCTTTTTTTTTTAAGATTATTTATTTTTAGTTTTCAACATTCACTTTCACAAGATTTTGAGTTCCATCTTTTTTCTCCCCATCTTTCCCTCCCCTTACGCCAAGACAGAGTGCATTCTGAATACTCCTTCACCCAATCTGCCCTCCCTTCTATCATCCCCTCCCCCTTCTCTTATCCCCTTCCCCTTCTATTTTCCTGCAGGACAGGACAGATTTCTATACCCCACTGCCTGTATATCTTATTTCCCAGTTGCATGTAAAATCAGTTTTTAACATTTGTTTTTACAATTTTGGGTTCCAAATTCTCTCCTTTCCTCCCTCCCCACCCACCCTCATTGAGAAGTCAAACAATTCAATATAGGTTATACATGCATAGTCATACAAAATACTTCCATAATAGCCATGTTGTGAAATCTATATTCCCCTTCATCTTATCCTACCCCCATTTATTCTATTCTCTCCTTTGACTCTGTCCCTCCTCAAAATTGTTTGCTTCTGATTACCCCCTCCCCCAATCAGCCCTCCCTTCTATCATCCCCCCTCTGTTATGCACTTACCCCTATTTTCCTGTAGGATAAGACAGATTTCCATTCCCATTTGAGTGGGTATGTCACTCGTTCCCTCTCACCTCCTCCTTCTTCCCCTCCATGGTAAAAGCTTTTTCTTCCCTCTTTTATGTGAGATAATTTGTCCCATTCTACCTCTCCCTTTCTCCTTCTCCCAGTACAAACCTCTCTCATTCCTTAATTTTTTTTTAGATATCATTCCTTCATATTCAACTCACCCTGTGTCCTCTGTCTATGTATATATATATATATATATATATATATATATATATATATATATATATATATATATATATATATATATATATATATATATATATACCCTCCAACTACCCTAATACTGAGAAAGGTCATATGAGTTACAAATACATCTTTCCATGCTAAGTATTCAACTTTAATAAGTCCCTTATGATTTCTCTTTCCTCTTTACCTTTTCATGCTTCTCTTGAGTCTTGTATCTGAAAATCAAATTTTCTATTCAGCTCTGGTCTTTTCATAAAGAATACTTGAAAGTCCTCTATTTCACTGACTGTTTATTTTTCCCCCTGAAGGATTATATTCAAGTTTGCTGGGTAGGTGATTCTTGGTTTTAATCCTAGCTTGTCTGACCTCCAGAATATCATATTCCAAGCCTTCCTATCCCTTAATGTAGAAGCTGCTAAATCTTGTGTTATCCTGATTGTGTTTCCACAATACCTGAATTGTTTCTTTCTGGCTGCTTGCAGCAGTTTCTCCTTGACCTGGGAACTCTGGAATTTGGCTATAATATTCCTAGGAGTTTTCCTTTGGGGATTTCTTTCAGGAGGTGATTGGTGGATTCTTTCAATTTCTATTTTAACCTCTGGTTCTACAATATCAGGGCAGTTTTCCTTGATAATTTCTTGAAAGATGATGTCTAGACTCTTTTTTTTTTATTGTGGCTCTCAGGTAGTCCAATAATTTTTAAATTATCTCTCCTAGATCTTTCTTCCAGGTCAGTTGTTTTTCCAATGAGATATTTCACATTGTCTTCCATTTTTTTCATTCTTTTGGTTTTGTTTTATAATGTCTTGATTTCTCATAAAGTCATTAGCTTCCATTTGCCCAATTCTAATTTTCAAGGAAGTATTTTCTTCAGTGAGCTTTTAGACTTCCTTTTCCATTTGGCCAGTTCTGCTTTTTAAGGCCTTCTACTCATTGGCTTTTTACACTTCTTTTGTTATTTGGGTTAGTCTATTTTTTAAGGTGTTACTTTCTTCAGTATTTTTTTGAACCTCCTTTAGCAAGCAGTTGAATTATTTTTCATGATTTTCTTACATCATTCTCATTTCTCTTCCCAGTTTTTCCTCTACTTTTCTTACTTCTGAAAGTCCTTTTTGAGCTCTTCTGTGGCCTGGGACTGATTCATATTTTTCTTGGAGGCTTTGGATGTAGGAGCTTTGACTTTGTTGTCTTCTTCTGGTTGTATGTTTTGATCTTCTTTGTCACTAAAACAAGATTTTATGGTCTGACTTCTTTTGTGCAGTTTGCTCATGTTCCCAGCCAATTACTTGACTTTTAAACTCTTTGTTAAGGTAGGAGTCTGCTTCCACTGTAGAGAATGTACTGTCCCAAGCTTCAGGGGTTTTGTGCAGCTCTTTTCAGAGATACTTCTAGGGACCTGTAATTTTTAGTTCTTCCAAGGTGGTATGATCAAAGGTGAGATATTTACTCCTTTCCTGGGTTGTGCTCTCATCTGTGAGTGACCACAAGCACTCCTTTCTGCCTTGGAACTGTGAGGAGGATTATCTCTGCATCACGCCAATGCTCTCCTCACCTCAGGATAACCACACAGAATTGTGACCCAGATCCAAGCACAGACAAAGCAAAAGACTCCTGCCTCTGCACCAGCAAAGAGATCCTTACAATCCCCCTCTGATCAGTCACTTGATCCCCCCACTGTCTGTGGGTCAGAGCTCCAGAAGCAGCTGCCACCATGGGGCTCCACCAGGACTGGGGCCCTCTTTTTACCACGGTTGATAGACTTTTCCTACTGACCTTCTAAGTTGTCTTTGGCATTTGTGGGTTGAGAAGTCTGGAAACCACTACAACTACTAGTGATTCAGTTCCCTGAGGCTTACTCCAGGTTCCCTGAGGCCTAGTCTTTGTCTGCGTGGTCCACGCTGACCTGTGCTCTTCTCCTAGCCAGGCACAACAGACCTTTCCCATCAACCATTCGGATTGTTTGGGGCCAGAAATTTTTTTCACTCTGTCTTTTTGTTGATTCTGCTGCTCTAGAATTTGTTTAGAGCCATTTTTTACAAGTATTTGGAGGAGTTTGGGGGAGAGCTCAAGCAAGTTACTGCTTTTACTCCGCCATCTTGGCCAGACTCCCAAGTCTTATACTCTTTCCACTATACCATGCTATTAAAATAAGTATCCATTTCATAAACTGGGAAAGGGCTCAACAAATGATGGTACATGAATGTAATGGATTATTATTATGCCCTAAAAAATAACAAAGGAAATGGTTTCAGAGAACCCTGGGAAGACTTGTATGAACTGAGCTGAGTGAAATGAGCAGAACCAGAAGTGCAATTCATATAGTAAGAATGTTGTACAAGTGAACAACTTTGAAAGACATAAGAACTCTGATCAGTACAATGACCAACAGTGATATCAGAGGACCAGTGATGAAGCATGCTATTGACTTCCTCATTGGGTAGAGTGGGGGAGCAGGGGGAATGGACATGGCCAATGCAGGAATTAGTTTTGTTTGACTATGTATATGTGTTGTAAGGGTTCTGTGTTTTGGTGTGTGTGTATGAATGTGTGTGTGTGTGTGTGTATGTGTGTGTGTGATTTTTTTTGCTTTCAGAGAAAAGGAGAAAATTAATGCTTATAAAATGGAAAAAAAGGAGTTGGATTAAAAATACAGTCCTAGGGACATCTAAAGATTTGCCAAAGTGAGGAACAACCAGCATCCTAAACCAAAAGAGCTGCTGGTACCTCAATGAAAGGCGGGGTCGAAAGGGGAACCTTGCTGCTTTCTGAAATTACTCCGTTCCCTCCTCTTAAAGTCTTTCTCTGCCCCTAGAGGCTTCATGCTATCAGCCACAGCCTTTTAATGTAGGGCATTGCACTAGGAGTTTAGTCAGCCAGTCAGTCATCAATAATTTATTAAGTACTTACTATCTGCCAGGAACTATGCTAAACACTGAAGGTACGAAGTCAGTCAGATAGTACCTAATGAAAAGGTAAAATACAGCTCCTACTTCCAAGGAGCTCACATTCTAATGGAGGAGATAACATGCAAATAATTATGTACATATAAGATATATTATATATAATATATGCATATATACATACACATACATACACACATACACGTTCATATGTCACATACATTATATATTATATAAATTTGGTCTGGGGCTTCCCCTTCCTCTGATATGTAAGTTCTCTACTTTGTTTGGTCTCTATGTCCTTTGGATTTAAGTAAATTTTCCTGTAACTTCATTCAATATGAAAGGAAATAAATTCTGGTGTTTACTATGCATATGCACATAAGAAATAGAATGAAGAAATAAATTAATTTTGGCATGTCTTTCACTGAATCATTGTCATTGATATTTTCTAGCTCACTTTGAAAAGAGGTTAGTAAACAAACATTCATTTGTTTTGGTCAAGAGGAATTATTCTTTCAACTGTTTCTTTCAAAAATCTCAAAAGAACAATAAAGCTCCCTCTCTTTTCATCCTGTACACCATTCCCTCATCACACTCACTCCAATCCATATTTTTTTCTGGCACAACTACTTTTAGAATATTTCAGTAGAAAATGTAATTATTTACCAAATATTCCCCACACCTCATGATAAGCTTTTTGTACCCCAAGGGATAGAAACCATGCCCTAATAGTCTAGCTATGCTGTAATTCCTTAGGGACACAGTTGCTTGTTTCAATCTACTTTTTATTCAGATTCAGGGAGTTAAATCCTACAGAGATTCTTTCTGTGGATGTATTCTGGGTGTAGGTGGATGACTGAGAGGTATAAAGATGGGAAGGTACCATATAAAAGCACCAGTGTCCTGTTGGTAGGGTAGGTGATTCTACCTCCCACAGAGCACCAACTTTACACATATAGTATCATTGTGCAACTGCTGATATTCACTGGTCACAATTCTCCCTTAATGTATGCTTGTGGAAGTGAGAGACTGGCCTTGGATATTATCCCACAGTCCTAGCCCTTCAGAACTCCCTGACATCTCTTCCCAGGCCTAAAAGTTAAGTTGTCAAAGCAGGGGAATGCTTATTGGGGAAGTCACACGATACCGACACACACTGGACATTTGGTGGTATGAATTTATATGTGCTTTTGTAACCAACACATCAAGTGGGCATTAGACAGGCTTTGAACAAGTTGGCCTGTGAATGTGCCACCCACCCTAAAAGTCAGCTTCACTATCAGGGTTGGAAAAAAAATGAGAACCTTATCCAGAGTCCTGAAACCAGGAACAAGTCACTTTTGTCAAAGTGGATAGCTTTCCTTTTTCCTCTCTTCTTCACTATTTACTACTTTTGATATACAAGAATTCTTCCCCCTCAATACTTGGATATTGTAGTGTAAATGTTAAAATAGACCTAGGGGTATTTTGGTCTATTGGGTAGATTCTATGTGGAATGAACTATGGGAAGACACAGATAAGATTCATTGAGTATGGAAAAGAAAGGATGGGCTGCAATGTGTGCTGATAAGGGGTTTTCTACTTCAATGAGATCACAGACCCACTGACTTGTTCAAGGATGTACTATAAATTACCCTTCAATTCTGAGGGCAGCCACTAGAATTTCACAAAATGATTCCCATACTCATGGACTCATATAGACAGAGACTTAAAGATCATCTAATTGAACGCCCTCATTTTAAAAATGAAAAAACTGAGGCCCAGTGAGATTGTTAACTTGTTCAGTCACACAGGAAGGAAGTGACAAGGGATGGGAAGCCAGGTTCTCTGACAATCATCCCAGAATTCTTTCTGCAGCACCATGCTGCTTCTAAAGATTCCTTTGTAATAAATAAATATGCAACTAAAAAGTAGTTATCATGGCTAATATGCAAACTTGTTTTGCATGACTACGCATATTTCATAATGGGTTCCATGTTCTTACCTTCCCAATGAATGAGGGAGGGAGTGGAAGGGAGAAGAGAATTTGAACTGAAAATAAAATAAAATTGAATTTCAAAAAAGAAAAGTAAGCAGAATTCTCCAATATTTATAGGAATTTATCAAAATGGGCATCATTTCATATAATACTTAGAAAAATGTAACATAGAATGCATTTTTATGATAGTGTATATGAAAGATAAACAAGTTCCCATTTTTACCTTGAAAAGGATGCTCACAGATATCATCACCCCCTGACATGTATTGCATCCACTTCTGGGTAGACTGTCTTGTAGCCACCACCAGGTTCCTGTTCTTTATTTCTAGCCTGTATTGGTAAGGGCCGATAACCGCCTTTCTGTAACAACGCCACCACATGGGAAAATGAGTAGAATCACATTCAAACAGGCCCAATGGCTGCTCTGGGGCATGGAGATTCAATCCTAGGCATGTGCTGGTGCCTATGTTATACAGGCGGAGTTTGGAAACCCATTTCCATAACATAGATGTGGTTGGTTGTTTGCAATTCTCCAGGACCAGTCCAAATTTACTTGCTTGGATGCATGTCTTAAGGTCCTCATTTTGGATAATGAATATTCCTTTACCTGAAAGAAAAAGGAATAGCCAGTGTCAGACATTTCATATATAACAAACTAGAAATATATACTTCTTTCTCTTTATACTGACTACTTGACTTCCTGATCCATTGCTTTCCAGTTCTCACAATGATAATTTAATTTTGGTCTAAGGGGCTGGAGGGAGGGAATCCTCATCTAGGGCTCCGGGACCAATATGGCTTCTAAACAGGGGACATACAAGGACCTCTAGATTAGTTCCAGCATCAAGTTGGCCTTGATGCTGATTCACCTCTGACCTTGTACTTTGGTACTTTTTGTGTTGTTTTGGTCATGTCCAACTCTTCGTGACCCCATTTAGGGTTTTCTTGGCAAAGATAATGGAGTGGTTTGCCATTTCCTTCTCCAGCTCATTTTACAGATGAGAAAACTGAGGCAAATAGGGTTAAGTGATTCACCCAGGGTCACACAGCTAGTGAATGTCCAAGGCTGGATTTGAACTCAGGAAGATAAATCTGCCTGACTCAAGGCCCAGCGCTCTATCCACTGTGCTACCTACCTGCCTTACTTTGGTACTAGTAGCAGGATTATTACATTGCACCTTATAACTAATATGTCTCATTCTCTCATTCCAATCAATCAGCCTTTATCAAACACACACTGAGGCCCTGAACTAGTAAATGGATCCCTATGCCTATATGCCCACCTTGGTATTCTTTGCTCCAGGGCTGGGGATCTACCATGATCTTCTCAGTACTACCAGGGACTGATACCAGAGTTTTCTGCCTCTGAATTCTAGCCCCTAGTAGTGGGATCTCTGCTCCATGAGAGTTCTTTGATGGTGGTTCCCTGCCTTCTTGGATCACCACCCAGTCTCTACTGCCAGACCTGCCCAATGCTGACTCCCTGGATGCTTAGACCTCAAACACGTACCTGTTCCCTGCCACCCTTCTCCATCCCTTTGCCTAATCCTATGCCTCTGGAAGGTAGAGTAATAAACTGCTCCCAAAGCCTTCCTCTTTATAGAAGGCCAAGAACTTCCTAGCTAAACTCTTCATTTTTCGTTAGCTGCTCTGCTTGGTGTCAATTCCAAGAACATCATGCCTCCCCCAAGATAAGCTCATCACCACATAGACTAAACCAGTTTTCATATTCTACATCTCCTCAGTACCCTCAGCTGCTTCTTCCCCTCTGATTGGAGGGCAGAGCTCTTCTCAAAGTCTTCCTTTATAGAGGGCTCAGAACTTTCCAACTAATTGATAGCAAACATAGTGCCACCAGCCAGGTATTCTTCTAGCTGTAAAATGTAATATTTGCAGTAATATTTGCCTCACAGGGTTGTTGAAAGAAATACACTTTTTAGAACTGAAAGCTAAGGGGGTGTCAATCACTGGAGAATGACTGAACAAATTATGGGAAATGAATGAAATGGAAAAATACTGTGCCATGAGAAATAATTAAAGTGAAGATTTCAGAGAACCTTGGGAAGATTTATATAGACTGATGCAAAGCGAGGTAAGCAGATATTGTATAAATTGTTGATATTACAATATCAACATTGTAAAAATAAATAATTGTGAAAGAGTTAAGAATTTTGGTCAACATAATAATCAACTATAATTCCAGAGGACTGATGAAGAATCCTACCCACTCCCTGATAGAGAGGGAGACTAACATGCATAATGAGACACATTTTTGGATGTGGCCAATGTGGGAATTTGTTTTGCTGGACTATACTTATTTGTGACAAAGATTTTTACCTTGTTTTCCTTTTTTTTCTCCCAGAGAAGGGTTTGGGGACTTGGGAGGGGGAAGGAAATGGAAGAGAAGGGGGAAAAACTCTACAAATTAAAAAAAAAATTTTTAAAACTATAGACTACATAAATATGATTTATTATTTATTAGTAATGCATTCCAGACATACTTTCCTGATAATATACTTTAAGAACCTAAATTAGTTATCGGAAAGCTACTTGCATAGAATTAGAAATAAAATCAAAGAGGGAGAGGAGAATGAATGATTTTAGTAAAGATTTCATTCAGAACATGAAGACCATTTTCCCTCCATGGGGGTGCTCCCTAGTGCTTGTATTTTTGCACATTTCTGGCTCATCAGTAGTTTCCTCCTCTATAAAGTGGAAACATGAATGAAATGATCTTGAAGGTCCCTTCCTTTGCCAAATCCTACTAAATTTCCATCTATCATATGATTTCAGGCTTCAAAAACGAACAGGGTACTAACCTACCACCTTCGGTAGCAAAAACAAACAAGACAAACAAAACAACTCATAAATTCTTGGGGTTTTTTTGTTGAAAATTGATTTTATGATAAATTCCTGAACAAATTATAGCATATGAATGCAATGGAATATTATTGTATCATAAGAAATAATGAGAATGAGAGATTCAGAGAAGTATGAGTTGTGAAGTGATGCAGAGTGTAAAGAGAAAAACCAGAGGAAGGATTTATATAATGTTTATAACACTATAAATGAAAACAGCTTTGAAAATTTTGAAAATCCTGATGAATAAAATGAACAATCAGGATGCCAGAAGACTGACGATGAAAAAGACTTCCAATATTTCTTGGCAGAGGGGTGATGGGCAAAGTGCAGTCATCAGACTCATGAGGATCCTGAAACCTTTTCAGAAGGTCTTTGAGGTCAAACTACTTTCATAATACTAAGATTTTATTTGCCTATTAAAAGACTCCATCCTTTATCAAATGCATATGTGTGAGGCCAGATTATCTTCATATACTTCAAAATAACATATCACAATAAATTGAATGATGAAGCAGATATGACAGTCCTGCTGTCTTCTACTGGGCCAGGCATTAAGAGATTTGCAAAAAGGTATAAAATAGTGTCACTTTTCTCACAAAAACTGTTGGTTTCAAAAAACATATTTTTTATAATTATATGTTTTCATTAACATGTAATAGAGTTATTACTATTTGTAATGAATTAATAAATACTATATTTTAAAATTTTATTAATTTTGCTTTCTAAAACATTAAATATCAATAGACTAACCCATATAAACAAAGAGTCTTGGGGGTCCTCAATAATTTTTATTTTTTTATTTTTTTTTATTTTTATTTTTTTTTGGCTAGGCAATGGGGTTAAGTGACTTGCCCTGGGTCACACAGCTAGTAAGTGTTATGTGTCTGAGGCCAAATTTGAAGTCAGGTCCTCCTGAATCCAAGGCCGGTGCTCTATCCACTGTGCCACCTAGCTGCCCCCTCAATAATTTTTAAGAGTTTAAAAGGGGTCCTGAGACCAAAACATTTGAGAACCACTAGACTAGGGATACAGAATGAGACACATGTTTTCAAATGACCAATGTGTAATTAACTTGTTTTGCAAAACTATACTTATTTACTATTAAAGAGGGCTTTTGGTTTTTGGGGTAGGGAAAAATTAGGGAGGATGGAAAAGACAGTGATAATGATAATAAACATAAAAAGACAAGAACATTAGTGAATCATTAACAGTAACAGAAGAGAGAAGGAAGTTTAGAAGAGGAGACAGACACACAGGGCAGGATCGGTGTTATCACAATACATTTGAAATATACAAGGAACCCATGCTATATACATGGCAGAGTCACATGCAGTCTTCTTGATCTGTTCTTCCTTGTATAGGAGATGTTTATGTTTGTTGATGTTTGTCAAGTTCACAACGATAAAAAGGGAAAATTTTAAATAAAAAGTAACTTTATTGATTTGTAGGGATGTAGCTAGAGATTTGCTGTATGACTAGCAGTCTTGTACATGTGAAAAGTCCTACAGTTTTTAAAAGGAAGGTATGGTTAGGGAGGAAGTTGTTGTTCAAGCATCTCAGTTACGTCTGACTGTCTGTGATACAATTTGGGTTTTTGTTTGTTTTTTGCAAAGACACTGAAGTGGTTTGCCATTCCTTCTCCGGCTCATTTTACAGATGAGGAAACTGAGGCAAATGGGGTGAAGTGACATGCCCAGGCTTACACAGCAAGTAAATGTCTGAATCCATATTTGAACTCAGGTCTTCCTGACTCCAGGCCTAGAGCTATATCCCCTGTGCCACCTAGCTGCCCAGACAAGAGGTAGGTTAAGTACAAATGCCAGGCTACTGAAATCTGGGGTGGATGAATTAATTTTTCAAAACCTCAAGAGTCTGTCTTTGTTGGAAAACAAAAGTAACAGAATGACAACTTCTACAGTGAGATCTATGGTCATTCAGATACCACCCTAAAGAAGAAGATACTCAACCCAGTTCCCTGTGCTTGATTTGAAACGCTCATGGGGCTACAGTTGTGGTGGATAGAATCTGGAACACCTGAGAACCTAGATGCTTCTAAGATTCAGAGATTGAAAAGCCTTAAGAGGTGATCTAGACTAGCCTCCTCATTTTACAGATGAGGAAACAGAGGCCAGAGACAAAGAGGCTTGGCTAAAGTCACATAGTTTGTAAAGCAGTAGAGCTGACAAATCCTGTGCTCTTTCCACCACACTACAGAAGATTTCCAAATTTCTTTTGGTTAGGATGATTCAGTAAAAGGTAGCCATCATCATGGCATTTCAAAAAAACAAAAAGCTTGCAACTGTACATTTCATACTATAAGCATTTAGCAAGTCTAGGCAGAGATTGAGCTGTCCTGGTTAAATCCTGTCTTACTAAATATGACGCTGCCACATGTAGCCTCACATTCACCTTTCAAAAAGTCCTCAAAATGAATCCTAGGCAAGAAGTTTCAGCATTTATTGGGACCAATAAACATGCCACCTTGAGAAAATAATTCTATTCCATTACAAAAGGTAAAAAACAAGAACCCCCTTTTCCCCCATCTAGTTATAATAGGCTCTGGTTTGAACACCATTAATCTCCATAAATTCACTGAGGAGACACTACAATTATCTTCAAAAAGACTGCAAGGAGATCCAACGCATGTATCAACAGTCCTATTGTATTATACGTGCCCATCTGTGTTCGCTGTAACAGGAGAAGACGTGAAAATAAACTACTACTCCTTGGTATCTGTAGCTGTCA